ATTAGTTCGAAATCGGGTTCGGACCGCTTGGAACTTTGTGAGCGTCGGCTCCAAACCGATCTCTCCTCCTCCTCCTCGAGGAAGAAGAAGAAGCACGTGACTGTCGCATGCCTGTGCCAGCCTTGGGTTTCAAATCCATGGTTGATGAGGTCGGTTTCGAATCTTGGAGAAGAAACCTATTGGAAGGCGATGAGGATAAGGACACAGTGGGTTTAGATGAGGAATACTGGTGATGAGTCACAGGATTTGTAGGGCTATTAAGGAGAAGGAAGGGGAAGAAGATGAGGGAGATGAGGATGAGGATAATAACAACATAACGGGATATGGTGTTGGTTTGATCATTTGATGTTGCCATGCAATTTATGAAAAGAAATAATTAACCACCCCCCAAGATCCCAAGAGGGTTCAATATCCATGAACCAGTGATGAACACCAGAGCTTGTGAGGCAAAAAGCAGATACAGAAGAAGAGGAAGAAGAAGAAGAAGAAGAAGAAGAAGAGGTGTTCGAAATTCCAGACTTTAATTTAATCTTCTTTGAGAGGAGCCTAAAAAATCCATATCAACGGTGCTACAGAATGGTCAGAGAGGGAAAATTTACCAAAGTACCCTTTGTGAGCGTCAGTGGACAAGGAAGTTTAGTCTAGGGTTTGGAGGTCACGCAAGACAAAAGTCGTTCCCAGTTATGTTAGATTACGTTTTTGCCCCTGTAAACATCTCCAAATTACGGTACTATACCACACTGGACTGAGAAATTTAGCGAGACGGGGCCAGGGTTTCGTGGTCATTTTGGCAAGGAGACAAAGTATCAAAGACTCTTGAAAGCATAGGGCAAAGGCAAAGGCCAGAAAGAACGAAAACTAAAGGGAAAATATAATTTATTTATTTTTTCCAAAGAAATATATATTTGCAAGAGACGAGTCTTACAAGAAAGCAAAACCCTTGATTAGTAGGCATCCAAACAAAGACTTTCTGCATGTGTACAACGCCCATCGCATATAAATTAAGATACATACACACGCATACATACATATATATATACCTGCAGCATGCACCTATGTCTAGATATATATATACGTGTGTATCCGTACGTTTGTATAATATATTTACAATTATATGAGTGGAATATATATATAATGAGGGAATCGAATTTGTGTGGTGGCGCGAGTGCATGGAAGGAGATATGGGTGCTCTTTGGATTTTATATTTTTTTAATATATTCGATTACGAAGAGACTATGCATGTGTTCCCTTTACGTGTAATGCATGGGTCCCCCACTTTCCTCGTTATCATGCTATGGAGAACGATAGCACGTTGAGGTCATTTTCCTCCAACTTTTTTTTTTCTTTTCAAATACTGTTTTTTAGAATTTAAGCCATTCGTGTGTCCTGTATCTTTCTCTTGGTATTATATATATATATATATA